GTGATCGGCATGTTTGAAGTCGCAGTCAAAAGCTTTTCGACTTTGCTTGTTTTCGCCCCCCCAACATCTTTTCCTTCTCTTTCATTTCTCCCTTTTCCCCACCTGAAAGCCCTGCCTTAAAACAGAAGTCAGCACCCAGGCACGTTAGAAGTGTAGAAGATGGACAGGATGAAAAGCTTTGCCATTACAAACTCACTAAGCCCACAGTGCTTGCCTTAATATTACAGAAACCGGAACTCAGCACAGTTGTCTGATTACGTAAGATTCAAATTCCTCTTCAAATGAAAAGTTTTGCACCATATTGGAACCCTCTAAAGGAAGGAAATGCCAGAGGTGTAATGAGAAGGTGGTCCCAGACAGTTCAATGGAGAGGTTAAACACCTTTATCCATAACGCTGTAAGGCTCAGAAACTCTCCTCCCAAAGTTTCAAGGGGCTTCTCTCCCTTTTCCACCAGTGTTCCTGAATTCACCATGTGGGGCAAGAAAACTACAGTAAACACATGGTAAGTAGATGAGACCACTGCAGTCTTCATTTCTTTCATTTCCATCGGAAATGAAGTTACATGCCGTTCAGTTAATAGAAAGAACCTGTAAGTGAAATTTTTTTTTCTCACTTGGAGACTTACATATGGCAAGTGCTGTCAAAGATGCCACAGCCCTGTCCAAACTCTTTGCAATGCCAAAGTGCACTAGGTGAACACATTCTAAATCTTACACAGCTTTTCCAATGAAAATTGTTACTCTACAGATATATTCTCTGTATTTTTCTGTTAAGTCTATAGAAGACTACATGAAAATATCATGTGGTATCACCTCCTCGTCCTACCACTTTTTTTAATAATTGCTTTAACATCACCTGAGAACAAGTTGTTTGTTTTTTCCCCTCTTGTGTCATGGATGTAACAAAAAAAGAGAACAAAGAGATTAGACCCCAGGTAGAATCTGGGGGAAGCCTATTCGGGGAAGCTGCAGATGAGAGAACAGAAGACTGAGACCAGTACTGCTAAACCTGACACCTCCATCTTGAGATGGCGTCTGGAGGGAAGAGATACACCACAGCAGAAACACTCTCACAGGTAGCTGCTAATGAACAATCACCTTCTCTATGCATTGCCATGCCAAGGTCATGTTATTACTTTCCCAGTTTCCAGGAAAACACACCATCAGAACTAACACTCTGGGAAAGAAGCTAGGGTTTATCCCCTTTTAGTGTGTGTTTATGCTCCTAAGTATTTTAGACAGAATTTGTAACACACTATCTGCTTTGCCCTGCATATCATCATAAAAAACACTTTTGAAAGCTCTGCTCAGTCAGGAATTACAGGTCCAATAAAAATCTCAGTAAGATCAGACACAGCAATTTTACAGTGAAAAAGAATGATGGGGACTGAAAAGAATTTCCTGTAATTATGAGTATTCCTCCTTCCAAGAAAAATTTATTTCCCTTAAAATTACATTTAATAAATAGTGTTAAAATCATATTGATTTTCAAGGTATCTACTTAAAACAGAATTCTTTTAAATTAGCAAGAGAATTCACCAGCAGGAGTATTTACTGGCAAATGTAGTCCTTCTCCTCCTCAAATTTTATCATAACTGGACATTAGGAAGCTCCTATAACAACTTTGGAGCTACGGGCCTTCTCTGTATATTTCCACCATTTCTTCATTCAGAAAGCAACATCATAATTGCCTCCTCCATCCTCCCAAGCCATATGCAGCCTGTTTTGATAATTTCTTTTTAGAGAGACTCCTTCCTAAAAGTATATTTGGAATGCTGTAGTCATACAGAGTTAACTCTATTTTAGTACCTTTACATTCAGGAAAGCTGAGGTTCACGTTACTCTTTTCAGATTTAAGTACTGAATTAAATACATCAGGGAGTGCAGAAACAGTTTATAACATTGAATGCAGAGAAACCTATTTCTTTGCAAAATCTGGGTGATCTCACTAACACCACGCACCTATGTTCATTAGAAGTTGAATTACGGTCCCTAGTTTAAATGGCATTAGCAAGGAATATGGCAATAATAAAAAAAACAATCTTGATGAAAAACTGAGAT